TAGCAAAATCACAGTCAGTGTGAGCCTCCATGAGAATCAGACTAGAATCCAAACCTGCACAAAGTTGTTGATGAAGAAAATGATGAAGAAAATCCAGTGAGAGATCATCAGAAAAAAAGGTGGAAGACTCTCCCTGGCAATAAACAGCAGGCACATGGCCAGTCTTAAAAATCACGTGCAAGGCCCCATCTTCACACCATGGTGTCCTACCACACATCCATTAGCTTGAACATCACATCCTGTTCCCAGAGCAGGTAGAAAGGAAGAATTAAAACAAAAATAAAAAATACCAATGTCTGTATATTAATTCTACAAGCATACATAGTGCAATCCACTTCTCCAAAAGCTTGAGTTTTGTTTTGTTTTTTTTTTTAATCTCCAGTTGTGTGTCTGATCCCTGACAAATGAGATGACAAGCATTTTAATAAGCATCAAACATAGCATCTGGGTCTGCTTGACCCAGAGGGATGTCCTTAGGCTGGCAGCCATTCTATAGGCTGGCACACAGAACATGAGTTCCTCCTTTCAAAGGCTCTCTGGCTCATGCGCAGGAGGCACAAAGGAGTTGAATCAAGATATAGTTTAGAAAAATGTGAATCCTCCAATCTGCACCCAGTAGTGTTCATTTCCATCTATCATTTCTATGTACAGTGACCACAAATTTGGCAAAGTCAGTACAGCCTTGCTATTATTGAAACATGCAGGTGCCAAGCTGCACAGCCTCTCTTACCCCTGAGATACCACTCCTAAACCGTGTTAGTGCAAGTTGAAAAAAAGCTGCAGCATTCCTTCTATTACTGACAGTAATACAGCAGGACTCTCGTTTGCAATGTACAACAGAAAAAACTGCCAAGAAATTGGATCTATTGCTACAAGTTTAATGGCTATTATCTTTCCCCTCAAATGCCCTGAAATGCAAATATTTTATGGTTGTTGCATGCTTTGTCGCAATAATAGTCTTCATTTACTTTAATTTCACATTGTTATTGCATAAAAAGACAGAATCAATCAGAGGGCGGGGGGTCTGTCTGAGGACCATATGCATTTGTTCTGAAAGCCTTGGAAGGGACCCAAAAGCCCTGCTGTGCAGCAGATTGTTGAAGCAACCTTGTGCTTAGGTCAATGGAGCAGCTTGAAGTCTGCATAGGCAGTTGCATTTGCCACCCCAGGGGCACAGGAGGGATGTGCCAGTTTTCTCCAGCACAAAAATAGGATGGGTGCTGTGCTGAACCAGACATGCAGCCTGAGCCACGTGTATTGGCAAGAGAAGACTCAGCAAGTATCTGCACCGAAGGCAAGCTCAAAAGCTGGAAATGGGGGCAAACAGCACCCGTGATACTAGACCAGGTCTTCTGAGGTCACTGGCAATTACTACAGATGGCATCGCTACTTTTGGAATTCAAAATGGCTACTGCACTCTGGTGATTTAGGCATTCACAGTTGTCCTCATTCCTCATCTAAGACTCTCATCTAAGGAGTCAGCAGGACTTTTTGACCACAAACACAGTCACATTCCAGATTCCATTTCTGTATGTACTGGGACAGAGTTGAACACTGTAAGAACGAGACATGGGAGAGCAGATGGCTGACAAAGTCTTACCATAGGACTGGGATAGTTCAGATGTGTCTGCTGTGCAGTGCAGTCTTTATACAACAGCAAAACAGAGCTTCCAGAGTACAGTCTACTCATCAGAAACTTTTAACCAGATATGGGGACACCATCACAGCTACAGCAGCTATTCAGCAGTCAGGTTCATTGGTACTACCAGAAAGGCTGATACCGGTACCAGCAGACTCCAGGATTAGATTTAAGACAGTTTCAAAACTTAAGTTATTAAACAAAACTAGAAGTCACTAATAAATCAATATCTGTTTTTTTTTTTTTTTTTTTAAATGCACTACTTGTTTTTTTCCCCATCCCAGTTTCATAATAACACTTCTTCCCAGAAATACAACCCACAGGCAGTCCAAAGCACTGCTGCAGTTTCAAAACCCAGACTCATCTGTTACAAAGTATTTTTCCCTGCTGCAGATAGTGGTAAAATGTATCTACATTATTTTTAAACAACAACAAAAGAAAAGCAAATAAGGTAACCCAGACTTGCTCTGAAGTAGCGCAGGCAAGTTGCTTTCTTTACGTTGTGTATTAGGAATGCCAAAAATAAACACTAGTATGGCATTCATACAGCAAGTGGGGTTTCCATATATCTGACTCTTTTGCCACGTTTCTAAAGTCAAAGCACAAAGTGTAAAACACAGTCTGATATATTAGGCAGTTTTCTAGTAATGTCAGGTGCAACCTCCTCCCTGGCACCTTCATTCTTATCACATTAAGCTTTTGTTCTCATCCAAAATTCAGAGGGGTACAGTCTCAAAACTTAAAAAATGTTTTGTTATAAAAGCAGTGGCTGTTTGGAGAGAAGACTGTGGTCCATCCCATAACTTTTTTTTCTGTTGGTCAGCTTCTACAAAATATCACAACCAAAACATTGCATGAGAAAGGTTATAACAGTAAACTGGAGAAAATTTCAAATAAGGATAGTAATAGCAGAGTAACCTCACCTGATATTTAAAACTCAGGAATAATAGGGAACCATTAGGAACTCCTGTTTCATTACCCCCAGGGGCTCAAAAGAATAACTATATAGTATCACTGTCCAGGCTCAGGCCCTTAAGGTAGGCTTTCACATCAGTGAAATGTGGATTTCATCACATAATGTCACTAGGAGCAGATAAGTAAGACCAGACTCCAGTCCAAAATTCTTTTCTGCACAGATTGTAATTGGTTGGGTGCCTACTGCTTGTTATTCCAGTTACTGACAGAGATTGCCTTAACAGTGGTACTTACCACCTTCTAATCAAGCTGAGAGGACTCTTTCTACTTACACTGAGCACCCTCTGGTCCAATTAATGCAGTGAAAAAAGTGCAGAATGGTTTCTGGGATAGATTGCTCTGAACAACCAGTGCCATAAAAGTGAGCTGCCGTAACTGTGTGAGACTACAAGCTAAAAAAACAATGGTACATTTCCTGGTTTCCCTATGTTTAATAAGTTGGGGACCTCATTTAAAATGTGAAGTTGTTGCTAAATCACAGTGACACCATTAGTGAAAAATCATTGACACACAGCTTTTCACAACAGAAATCACGTTCCACTCCATCCTTCCTATGGCGTGATTTGTATCAACTTAACAATATTGACTTAAATGAAAAAAATTACACAGATTTCCTCTCGGTACAGGTTCCAAGTGGAAGAACTACTTTTTGTTTACCAAGGAAATTCCCATAGCATTAATGTTCCCAGGGAGGAGGAATTCCCCACCTAGTGTCAAAATCATTTTGTCAGGTCAAGATTAAATATCAAATAGAAATGGAAACTCAAACAAAATTCTGTGAACTCTGCTCGAGTTTACTGCCACCATAAGACACAGAAAAAAAAGGAGCAAGACACACAAATGGACAAACGGCAGCATTTGTGAGAAGGGCAGTACAGGATTAACAAACTACAGCAATTTGGTTAAAGAAATTGCAAATGCAAAAAGCCTCCTGGTCTGAACAGGGACACCTTACAGCTAGGTCAGGTTGCTCAAAGCCCCATTTAGCTCGACCTTAAACGTCTCCAGGGACAGAGTATCCACCTTCAGTTTCAAAAGAAAAGCAGCAGGACACCCAGCCAGACACATTTTGTCTCTGAATAGAGACACTTTCCAAAGCGCACAAAAAGCTCTTCACGTGGTAAGCCTTACACAACGCTGCTATGAGGGTGGTGATTCCGCACAAAGTCCGTATGCAATTCAGGGTAACACAGTGCAGAGACACTGAGGAGCTGAGACTTCAAATTTGCCTCCTGATTTTAGGCAAGTCTGTCAGTGAGCAACACTTTCTCTACAGGTAGAGTTTATCTGTCAGTTTAATTCTGCCCTCACCTTACCCTGACATGCCTCAGCATTGACTTCATTCCAGAGCTTTCAAGGTGTGCAATACTGCAGACAAACTTATGGTCAGAGCTGAGAGCAACTGAGGTTTAAGATCTCCTCTTTGTAATTCCAACCCATTAATTATTTGATACATAGTCTGCAGTTTACATAAACCTCTAAAACATAGCAAAACAGCTTTACACTTTTATTTTTGATCACTGGGAATTAAGACCAAGAGGTAAAGAAGGTAGAAAAAGCTATAGAGATGGTGGTCTGTTTTACTCACGAAATCCTCTAAGGTCAAAGAAAAAGAAAAAAAAAAAAATTGCTCCAACACAAAAGTAAATTTATAGGACAAAAGAGCAGGAGGGAAAAGAAAGCAACAGATGAGAAACTTGTCAACCTTATCAGCAGATTCTACCTACTCATTTCAAAGAGTTGACTTAGAAGCTTTCAAATAGAAAATGTGCAAATCTCTCACAGGATGCTAATTTTACATGTGAAATGCTCTTTAAAATCTGCAGTAAAGAACATCTTGCTTTTCTGGGGCTGGTGATCCAAGGATTCACGGTGTGGGATAGAAAAAGGTTTCATCTGATGCCTCACTGACTAGAATTGCAACTACCTCTGAACACTGAGGCAGTTTCCTCTGATCCCTTTGTAGCAATAAAGATAGCGATGCAGGGAAAAAAAAATATCATGGAAGACAGCTTCCACAAAGGAATCATTCTGATTTCTGTGTGCTAGTTTGTAGGCATTCCAACAAAAACCAACATGAAAAAAGATATTTATTCCTTAGAAACTTTAGTTCTACCATGTCTGTGATTCTAAAGTACCTATTTTTTTTCACTTCTGTATGCATTTATTGTGAACTTACATTGCTTCTCTAACCAGAATAAAGGCAGGTAAAGAAAAAAGAAAAACAAAACAAAACAAAACATCAACAACCAAAAAAAAAACAGCTCTACAAACATATTCTCACCTGTACTCTCAGGATTTGTGTTGCTGTAAAAAATATGAAGCTCAACTGAATGTTAACAGACTACACAGTGAAGAAATTAAAAAAAAAAATAGAAATCTTTACCTGGTACAATTCATTCTTCACAAAGATACTGCCCGATGTGATCATTTCTCCCCTTGTAAGAATCTAAATGAGCCTAACATACATGTTGGTTATCCTCCGACACATTCTTTCCTAACACCCTTGACCCAGGGACAAAGATCTTCATCTCTGTAAACGATTCTTGTCATACGGGTAGCATTTCATACAGAACTATGAACTGAAACACTTGGAAAAAAACCTTTCTCTCTAATCTGAAGATTGTCTAATTTGTAATTTTCAAGAAGACCATTTCTTCTTCTTGAGGAAAAGGAAATTGCCTCCAGTACTTGCTTTCAGCAAAATAAGTGCAATGAAGTAATCTCCAGCACATGCTGATCAGGTGAAACCCATTGAAGCCACTGGCCAATACAATTGACTCAAATGAGCATAAATACCTTACAGAGTGCTTGAATACTTACAGTGGAGACTGATTCACAGCTCACTGGAACAACTAGTCCCTCCTCAGGTATCCCTGAGCTTCAGCTGGGGTACTTTTCCATTTAAATTTTTGCAATATTACAAGGTAAAATATTCAGGGATTGTTTTTGTAACTCTCTGATGATGCTTTCAAAAGACCTAAAACATTAGAGGAAGCATACAGATTGTGCAGTGGCCATCACTGGCAAAGCACCCATGCTCTGCTATGAGCCATCTGTGTGACAAGTGGAAAAATATGAAAAAGCATCTGATTGACTGCCATCAGTTTGAGAAGCTTGACCAGAAAGGAATTGACTTCAGCCAACAGTTTCTTGCCAACATCACAGAAATAGGTGGAAAGGCCCCAACTAGTAGCTTTCATAGAAAACACTCCTACTGTAGTGCCTGTCCTCCTCCAAAAGTATTTATGAAGTTTAAATTCAAATGAATAATCCCTAACAAATGCATTAAATCATTGTAGTTTCTTCTTCATCACAAGAGTTAGCCTTCCCATCACATGCAGCAGAGCTCTGTGGAAGTGTAAGTCACAATAATGCAAACCAAGGAATATTTTGTTAGACTCGTTGACACTAACAGGCAGTAGTTAAACAGTCTCTCTGGAATCATCTTACTGGCCGAGCTGTGCTCTCAGTGTTCCAAGTTCCTTCAGTGAGAAGGAAGACCAGGAACATTTAGAGTCTGTTCTGAGATAAAGAGTGTGAGCTCAGGCTGGAGCCTCTATCCCAAGCACAGTGTCCGTCACCGAGAATGAAATTGTCACGTACACTCTTTAAGACATAAGGCTACTTCAAGAGCTATAAATGTTGAATGCTCTGCTTACTGAGCATGAACTTTGCAAGAGATTTTTGAAGGAAATGAATGTACCAGGTAGATAAACACTTAAGATTCTTTCCCTTATTTCTGCACACCTATTTTAAAAGTATTTGCCACAGCATTTTTCATAACATTGTGCTATGATTCCTTGAACTTAGCTTATATTTTCAAGGTATTGCCTATTGTCAAAGCCCTATATCCTGTAAACTTGGGGAAAAGACTATTTTTTGTTAATTCAGCATCTCAGTTTCTGCATAATTCCCAAAAGGCAGTCAATGATTCTTTATTAGCTACGTGCTCATTTGGCAGTAGCAAGGCAAGGATCTGTGTGAAAGTATATCAACAGCAAGGTAAACTCTCTTGCAGTAGGAGGGCATACAGGAAAGTGAATCTCTTTATGGCAGTGTAAACTCACAATAGGTGATAACATATAAAAACAATGGATTTATATTGGAAAAACATACCATAAGCAGTAAACTGCAATTACAGGAAAAAAGCAGACACCGCCTCGTTAAAGGACTCCATTATGTTTTGACTGCATTTCTCCTGTGGTTTCCTCCAAATCAAACGTGTGCATACACACACACACACATACAGACACACACTTCCCATACCTCACTTCCATTCCCAATAATAGCCAAAATAAACATGAAAAATAATATTAAAAAAAAACTCTGTATTCAGTAATATTCACACCAAAGAATATGTATAGATATATCCATTAAAATTATGAACATTTCTAAATATATTTTATGTATCATACATATATTTATATGTATAATTACATATCCACAGAAGTAGTCTTGCTGTGCTAAAGTCAGCAGTAAAAGCAAAAACAGGTTTCACAATAGGACACCCATATATGCATATGTACTGGCTGTTTGGTTTGTGATTTATTTACAACTTAACTATATCATAATAAATGCTTACTGTTCTATTGTACAAACGTAATAGCAAAGGTTTAGGTTTGTTTTTAAATACAAAGACTGCAAATGAATACATGAAAAAAATTACACACCATGTACAGTATTTATAATTTATAAATGCAAAGTTAAGACCTCTTTAAATTATTGCACTTGCATATTTTTTGTTTTTCTTTTTTACAAAGATAGTTTATATGTATCATATATATATATATGTGTGTGTGTGTAAATATATATATATATAAAACAAATCTTTCAGCTCACTGAATGTATTAAAGTTGAATGTTACCTTGAAGTTCTTCCTTCTCCACATAACAGCCCAACCTGAATTTTGAATATATATGAATCTACTCTACAAATCAGTTTGACCTATCCTAGAAAGCAGTCCATAGTTTTAGGTATTTTGACAGAGTATACACCCGTATTACAATCGAGCACAGTTTTTGGTCAGAGAGCAAAATAAGAGTTGTGATGTGCCTTTGCTGGATTGGGATATATAACCTAAAGTTTGAATGTGAACTTCCTTATAGTAGTGTGCAGAAAGTCTCTTCTGTGTTTAGAATGAAGAAACAATTTGTACCACTTCACAGAACTGCTCCTGTGTCACAGTGTTAGAGGCAAATGCATTATTTTAAGAGGGTCATAATTGTTCTGAACATCTGACAATCCCTATTTGAACGTGAATGGTGCTGTCTGCAGTCCCTACAATTTTAACACTACATGGCCTAAATGCAGTCACAGCAAATGCATCACACTGTTCCAAGTTTAAACACATGAAACAAGACTGTGCCACGTAAAAAGATGAATTCCACACTGCATGTTCCCTCCAATGTGAATACACTCTAGCACATAGTCCCACTAAAAACACTACTGTATTTTTCTCTAATGGAATAACTAAATTACATACTACATTACAAAATTTGTGGACTAAATATAACAGTGGTGTTTCTGTCACTGATCTAATAATATATGCAACATCTCGGATGAATATCATGCTAAGTCAACTACTTTTCTCACTTAGTGCATATCTTTTAGGCATCATTTCACTACAGATTAGAAATTCTCAGATTTGGCCTTTCTCAATTAGTCCTTTTACTTGTCCTGGACTACTAGAAGCAAAAAAACAATCCAAACCACTAATAAAAATAATGCTGTTCTGGAAGTACAAAATCTAGCACTTCTAGGGAAAAAAAAATAAAAATAAAAAGCTCTGTCAGTTTTTTAAATTCATTTTATATATCATTAGGTTTTAGCAGGATAAAAACAGCTCTTGGATGTTTAGTTTAATGAGCCAGATTGCTGAAGTCCGAACAATTAAACGTCAGCGTATTAAACCTCAAACAAAACTCAAACGTACTTGAGCTGTAAATTTAAATCCAACTTCAAAATTGTGATTTTTGTTGATTTTGACTTTGGGAGTACAGATTTAAGTCCTTTTTCTACAAAAAAAAATGGGCATGCCTGAATCTGTGCTCTTTACATGCTAATGCTGAATTTGCTTAGAAAATATAGGCCACTATGGTTAATTTTGTTAGTTTAGCTGCTAACAAAAAGAAATTTTTTGTCACAGTTACCAGGAAAGCAAACCACAACCACTGGAGCCAAAGTCTTTAATTCTAACAGACATTATACTCTAACAAACACACATTTTCAGTGGTCTGGAGAGTTCTGTATTAGAAAAATCATGTGATTGACTTGAGACAATAAGTACAACTTATTGCCAATTTGATAAATTTGTTAGGGAAGTATCTTCTGATCAGTACTTACAAACTTCAACATGTAGAACTGAATGATACAGTGAAATATTTGGAATAGTAGGTGGCAGAACTAGCAAAATTGTCTTTGCTGCTGACAAGGACTGAAAGATGGAATAAGAACTCCTTAACACAGACACAGTGTGATCAGAACTATTTTTTTGCAAAAGTTGTAAGTTCAGCATTCAAAGAAGAGGCAGAATAACAGCAAATAACTCACCAAGAAAAAATGTTCAGTTCAGTTGCTGGGGTGTCTGAATTTTGAAAAATATTTTTGTGGTCACTACATTTTTGGACGACTTCAATGTGAATTAGGAACCATTCACTACATCTCAAGTACTTAGCAGATGAAAGACTGCATCTGCAAGATTTCATTAAAGCAGAACTGCTAAGGAGTAAAGAAGAGGACACAGTATGAGATACTGTCCTACGTCGTTGTTTCCTGCCTTTTTTATTACTCAAATTAATTTACTGTGGTTAACAGTGAATTTCTGCTCTTAGAATTGGTTACACAACTGAAAAGAACTATGGGGCTGCTACTAGGTAACCTGTATTAAACAAATGATATACTTTAATATTGAATTTCCAACCTCTGGAATATCTATGTACTGCAAAGGCTTAGGTGCATTTATACATTATGTGATTATGCATCTTATGCATCACATACTGTACACACGTACATACACTGGTATGTGCTCGACCATAACAGAAGGCAAAACTCAAGAGTTCAAGTCACCAAAATGAAACCCAGAAGATGGCATGCTAATTAGAACAATACAGCTCAAGAGACATGAGAACTTACGTTCTGTCTTTGTCACTACTATTAACAGTTACACAAATGGATGTGTTATCACAGAATCACCACAAGAGTGTTTTATCTGTGAAAAAGCACATAATGCAGTATGGGCTGTACGTGAAACGTGTACAAAGATCGTGTTGCGACCTACCGTGTGGATCAATACGAAGATTTTTTTCATTATTTTCAAGAGAAAGATGAAGGCAAAATAAGTGTTTCTTGAAACGTACTCTGTACAATTGCACTAAGTTCAAAAGAGTGGCATTAAATGTAAGGTCCTAAAGTCTGTGCATAAAATATTAAGGCTGAAGCCTAACTGAAGCACAGAACTGTAAACACAGTATTTTAGAGTAGTTTTCTTCTGTCAGCTATTCTTTTGCTGAGAAAGGCAGTTCCAAGTCTTGACATTTTGCTGAACTAAGGGAAAAAAAGCAAATGAAAAAGGGAAAAGCTTCCCAATTTCACTCATCTTAGGATGGGGGAAAGAGCAGTAGAAGACATGCAGTGTTACTGTGCAACACAAAAGCTA